CTCAGTCAGTAAATGATCCCAGGGTCAGATCCCAGGGTCCTGGTATCAAGCCACACAACAGGCTCCCTGCTCAGTGGGGAGTCTGCTTCTCCCTCTCCCTCTCCCTGACCCTCTCCCTGCTCATGCTCTCTCTCTCTCTCTCTTTCTCTCTCTCAAAATAAATAAATAAATAAATAAATAAATAAATAAATAAAAAAAATCTTTAAACAAAAATATGAAAAGATGCCTGGGGAATACTTCCTGACAATATAAAAATGTATACTTCATTGTATTTTTTCCTCTATATCACCCTAAAACTAGCAGACAGCTTCATATTTTACCAGTTGAAAATAACTGTTAAGCTGGTATGTGGCATATTTGTTCATTTTCATATCACCCAAGTATCTAGGAAAAACGAGGTCACTTTCAAAACCAAGTCAATAGGGTTTTAGAGGGCTATTTCTAAGCCTTTTAAAAGAGTAGTCTCCCAGAGTTTTCACTGTTCTTTGTTCTTCCTCAGAGTAAATCTCGGGACCAAATGTCTGATTTTGATTTTTTAAGTGCTGTCAGCCAATCTTTTCATTGCCACGTTCTCCAACATTCTTAGAATAAGAACACGGTTTCCTAGAAAAGCTACAGCAATTACACACGACTTGGAAGTAAACACTCTATTTTCAAGTCACGAGATGGTATAAGCCTAAAAAAATTTGCAAAACCATACTAATTCTTCAGTAAGTTTACATTTCAATTACTGCAAGGCTGAAAGACTTTAAGTAGGCCATATCAGCCACACTATACAGGAAATTATATCCTAGGAAAGCTCTGTTTTAAAAATAGGCAAAGGAAGAAAGGAAGGTTGCCAAAATACACAGCACTTTCCATTTGTTTTGATTTGAGTACAGCATCTGTTTTATCAGGTGCAATCTACTATTTAAAGGCTTAAGGGGAATGGTAGTAGTTAGGGTGGAAAGAAGTAAATTAATCTAAAATGTTTGCTTTCTGAAAACAATTTTGAAGTAGATATCAGTGGAATTTAGGTAAAAATCAAATACCACAAAGAGACTGAGCTTTGGGATAAGTCAGACTGGACTATATACTCCTTAATCCAGCAAAATCAAAACTGAGAAACTAGACCAATCCATTTAAGAAATGTACGCTTTTCAACTCTACTTCTTTTTCTTTCTTTCTTTCTTTTTTAGATTTTATTTATTCATTTGAGTGAGAGAGAGCATGAGTGGGGGGAGAGACAGAGGCAGAGGGTGAGGCAGACTCCCCATTGAGCCGGAAGCCTAACATGGGGCTTGATCCCAGGACCTGGAGATCATGATCAGAGCCGAAGGCAAAAGCTCAGCCATCAGAGCCACCCAGGTGCTGCTTTCCTTTTCTTATTCTGAATATTCATTCACTCACTCATTCAAAAAATACTGAGTACCTACTATAAATACCACATCCTGTTTTAGGTAGGGAATGTAGCAGTTAACAAAACAACAAAACTCTGTGGAGCTGTCTCTTGGGTGGGGAGGACAAACACACATGCAAACAAATAATACAATATCAGATAATGAAAGCCTATTAAAAATATAACAGGGAAATCTGAAGAAGGTTAACTTTGCTAAGAAACTACCATATGCAAAACAAAGCAAATGTGAATGGGATCAGTAGACAGGGAAACAATGAGAACAGAGTTTTAGTAAAACTGTTAGAGTTTAAGTTTAGGCGAGACTCAGCAAGAAAATAATATTCAAACATTTCGTCAAAAGTAAATTTAAACTGGAAATACTTAAAGAACTGCCAATACTTTCAAAACCCAATTTCACCTTTAACCGTTTTGATCACAGTTGATTTAGATGCTTATGAGTTCTGTCCTAGTACTGACTGGTTAAGCAGCCTCAGTGCCCTTCTTAAAAAAAAAAAATACCCTGATTTTTGTGGCCCTGGAAGGTCTACTTTGGAAGCAGGTCCACTGGCTGGCTGTGAAAATTGTTCCTACTTTTTCCTGAAGCTAGAATCCTCATTTACTTTTCTAAAGGTAGCATGGTAGCAGAGAAAGAATAAAACATTATGAACAAGATATCCAATCTGATACCATTCCTGCCTTAATGATCTATGTGACCCTGGACAAGTTAATTTACTTCTCTGAAACTGTAATACCGAAATATTTCCCCACCTACTTTACTTACTGATTTAGAGTTGTCCTGAGGACCAGTGAGATATAGTACACAGGATAATGTCTCCTTCCCCCAAAGGCGTCCAAGTCCTAATTCCTAAAACCTATGAATATGTTAGGTTATATGGTAAAGGAGAAGTCAGGTTGTAAATGGACTTCAGGTTGCCAACCAGGTGACCCTAAGATGGGGAGAGGATCCTGGTTTATTCAGGTGGATCCAATGTAATCACAAGCACCCTTATAAGTGGAAGAGGGAGGCAGAAGAGAGAACCAGAAGGATGGAAACATGAGAAGTCTCAGCTCAATGTTTCTGGCTTTGAAGATGATGACTAGAACCCTAAGTCAAGGATGCACACAGGCTGTTGAAGCTAGAAAAGATAAGGGAACAGATTTTTCCTTAGAGCCTCAAGAAAGAGTACAGCCCTGTGGATTCATTTCAGATTTCTTTCTTTCTTTTTCTTTTTTTTTTATTTTATTTTATTTATTTATTTGACAGACAGAGATCACAAGTAGGCAGAGAGGCAGGCAGAGAGAGAGAGAGATGAGAGAGCAGGTTCCCTGGGGAGCAGAAAGCCGGATGTGGGGCTCAATCCCACAACCCTGGGATCATGACCTGATCCGAAGGCAGAGGCTTTAACCAACTGAGCCACCCAGGTGCCCCTCATTTCAGATTTCTGATCTCTAGGACAGTAAGAGAATACATTTGGGTTGGCTTAAGCCAGTAAGTACATTGCAATTTGTTACAGTAGCAGTTAGAAACAATAATATATAAATGTACTTTGAAACTGGTAGGAAACTAAATAAATGCAAATGTTCTCATGTGACATCTCCGCTTGGTCTTGCTAGCAGCCCTGATGGCAGACAACCTGGTCGCCAGGTCTTCCGAGTTGTATCATATTTCCTAGTTAAAGGTAAATGCCCTGCCTTTTCTTTTCTGATGCCTGACCATTTTTGCTTTTAGCTTTCATTTTGTTTGTGGAGAGGTGATTACCATGTAACTATCAAACCAACTGCCTTTCTACCTGCCTACTTGCTCTTCAACTACTCCTTATTATGATGTTCCCAAGAGCACATTAAGAGAACTTTTTGGAGTCACAATATCACAGCAAAATTATGTACAGATAGTTCCTACTTTGTTAATAATGAGTTATTCTCTGAAAACTGCAAGACAATATGTGAAATATATACCCAACTACACACATGTATGCATACATATGTACATATATCAACATATATCCAGTTTTATAGTTTTTCCATCAGTTTGAGTAAGAATGTTACTGGATTCTCTTCCATAGGTTATCTTTAACTTGTGAGACAATTAAAACTGCAAGGTTAGACCATTCTTATCAATCCCAAATTTATAGACAAATACAGTAACAAAAATTTGAGTATTAAGGAATTAGAACACACAAACCCATGTTCTTAAGTCTCTAAAAATTAACACTAACGAAGTTAAACAGATGCATAGTAAGAAACCTAAATATTTTATAATGGTTCTTAGGTCAGTCACTAAATAACACCATTTTTTTTGCTCTTTTAGCATTAACTTACACATGACAGGCCTATTTCTTTTTTCCCCACATTATTACACTTTCATATTCCTTACCATTATCCCCTTTTAATTTTAGGGCATGGTATTTGTGTGCCCTCTGGTAATATCTTCGTATTACTACAGCATCTCATTTAAACTTCATTTTCAATCTGTACTTAATTCTTTTCCAAAAAAATCACCCAGATTTAGAGGGAAGATAGGAGAATACCACAACTACATGGCATATCAGTTTGCATATCCTGGGTTTAAAATGCTTTACAGGTGAAATAGGTGCAAAGTTGAGAAACTTCACCCTGTATTTCAATTGTAGTTAATGAGATTCAGGAAAAAAGATCTTTAATAACAGTATGACAAACATTCCAAATAAGAAGGAATATTCTCCGCTAGTACAGTTGACCCCTGAACAACACAGGTTTGGACCGTGCAGGTCCACTTACTCAAATTCTTTTTCAATAAATCTAGCACAGTCCTATAAATGTATTTTCTCTTCCCTATGATTTTTCTTAACCTCTTTTCTCTAGCTTTTTTTTTTTTTTTTTTTTTTTAAAAAAGAGCAGGCCAGAGAATCCTAAGCAGGCTCCATGACCCTGAGATCACGACCTGAGCTGAAATCAAGAGTCTGAAGCCAAGCCAACTGAATCACCCAGGTGCCCCTCTCCAGTTTACTTTTAATAGAGTATTTAACATACCTGTGTTAACTGTCTACCTTATGGGTAAGGCTTCTTCAGTAGGCAATTCTTCAACAGTAGGAAATTAATAGCTAAGTTTAGGGGAGTTAAAAAATTATACTCGGATTTCCCACTGTGGGGGAACCCCTGTGTTGTTCAAGCATCAACTGTAGAGCCTGATTTAAGAAGAAAAAGGACTGCAGTTGTCAGTAGTGATGAGGTATTCGTGTATTTAAATCAATTAAAAAGGGACATAACAGCTATGAAAAAAAGGAAAAAAGTTTGGGGTGAGAAAGAATTATGTTCTCAGTCTACCTATAAATTCACAGGCTAAAAAACAGTCCATCCAACTTCTTAAACTGGAACTTAGGCAAAAAGAATAAGAGATCCAATTACCCGTCTGGAAATCCTACACTTACTTAAATGCCAACTGACTGTGAACTTTTTTTTTTGAAACTCCACTTTAGAATTGTATTCAAAATCAGTTTATGAAGTTAATGAAGTTGGTCATTTTATTTACATAACATTTTTATCCAAAAACATTATCTCAGCTATTTCTAAAATAATGATTTTTCTATCTTGAATATCATAGATTCATTAAGCTAGACTTAATCACTCATAAATCTATACTTACATATTCCTTCACGTTTTTTGTTTTCACAGCTTTGTAGGAATAATATGCAGGATAAAGCATTCCAAACACCAACCTAGAAGTAAAAAGTAGACTAATGAAATACAATAATGCTTTTAACTGCTTATAAAAACTTCACCTAATAATAAAAGTAGAAACTACATGGGAAACATACAATGGTGTAAATTTGTATAAATGCAAATTTGTTCACAAACTAAATCCACTCAGAGAGCAAAAGTAAAAATACTTTTTATTTTTAAAAAGGATTTCAATATTCTAGGTATGGTATCATGGGAAAATTTTATATTTTCAAAATTATTAAACTTTCTCATTGTACACCTGAAATTAATAACACCGTTAATTATACTTGAATTTAAAAATAAAACCTTTGTCATCACAAAAAAGTCTATGGTTCCTTGAGCATTAGGAAAATGTAGAAAATCACCAAAAATAAAAATTGTCCCAACCCTACCAGAGAGAACAGCAGGCAACATTTTATTATATGCAAATTCTACTTTTTGTCCACATGTAATATTCCCAAAACCTAAATCTAACACATGTTATATGCAACATGTTGTGTGTCACACATAACTTGTAATACAAAAGTGGTCCTTCACTCTATTTTAAGAAGTACTGGCTTCTAATTATGGATGGTACTGTCAATACTTGATATATTACAACATGCATTAAAATATTCTCTTTAAACATTTATAAAATGCCTAAATCATTAACAGGATTTAATTTAACTCCATCTGTTAAGATTACTTTGCCAAATCGCAGATCCAACAGATATGTACAATCACACATACAATGAAAGGACAGACCCAAAAATGGAGCAACACATACACATGGCTTACAATTGGCATTTTCAGGTACGACCTCATGGAGTTTTTTGCCCTCAAATATTCTACGTATGTATTCTTAATACCTTCATTACATTCCTCATTGAGATTCTTAGTTTTATTTAAATAATCCCATAAAATAGGCTTTTGATTGACTTTCAGGTTTTTGCGATTGCATATAACATAAAAACCGTTCTGTCCATTATACTCACTTCCTCGTTAGGATGTTGCTGCTTCAAAGAGCACGTACATTTTTACCTCACCTCAAAATGCCCTCCAGAGAAGCAGTTCCACTTTTACACTCCTATACATTGCTGTTCATTGGCATCATTATTTAAAAAAATGAGAAAGTGTGCCAGCTAAGTAGGAGAAAAATAATCTCACAGATGTTTTAATATACATTCCTGAAAACCAGTAAACATGACTTTCTGAAGGGTTTACTGGCTTTATGATGCATATGGTATATGATATCCTGTTCTATACTCTTCTGATCTATTTAAAATATTTTGGAATAGTTTTGGGACGCCTGGGTGGCTCAGTTGGTTGGACGACTGCCTTTGGCTCAGGTCATGATCCCGGAGTCCCGGGATCGAGTCCCACATCGGGCTCCCAGCTCCATGGGGAGTCTGCTTCTCCCTCTGACTTTCTCCTCACTCATGCTCTCTCTCACTGTCTCTCTCTCAAATAAATAAATAAAATCTTAAAAAAAAATACTTTGGAATAGTTTTAATTTTACAGAGAAGTTGGGAATACACTATAGTTACCATAAGCCCTACAAGTTTCCCCTCTTACCTATATCTTGCGTTAGTATGATTAGTCACAATTCACAAACCAATATTGCTATGTTATTAACTACTAAAGTCCATATTCTATTCAGATTTCTTTAGTTTTTACCTACCATCCTTTTTCTGCCCCCAGATCCCATCCAGGATGGCATATTCTATTTACCTACCCTGTCTCCTTAAGTGCTCTGGTTTAAAAAAAAAAAAAAAAAAGAAATTCTCAGACTTTCCTTGGGAAATAGTTTGACAGTGTTGAGTACTGGTGGATTTTGGAGGAGATCCCTTTACTGGAATTTGTCTGATGTTTTCTCATGATTAAACTAAGGTATCAGTTTTTGGGAGGAGGACCATTTCCTATTGTATCAAGGACCCGCTATCAGCATGATTTATAACTGCTGTTAACCTTGACCAGCAGGCTGAGGTAGGGTTTATCAGACTTCACTGTAAGGTTACTCCCTACCCCACCCCCATCCATACTGTGTTCTTGGGAAGCTGCTATGCACGGGCCATAGTTCAGGAAATTATGTTCAATCTTCTTGAGTGGAATAGCTACACAAATTATCTGAATTTTTCTGCACGGGAGAATTATTTCTTCTCTATTCAGTGACTTATCTATATCAATATGGACTCCCAAGTTTATTTTACACTTGGGGTTTTAACACAGTAGTACTTCATTCTGCTGCTCAAGGCTTTGAGCACCAAGATCTTTCAGTTTGCTCCTGTGTCCCTCAGACAGACCTACAATTGTGTGGTTTATTTGTTTGTTTTTCTGAACTATATGCTACTTTCTGGCACTATATGATGCCCCAGACTCATCCAATGTATATCCTGCCTCATTCCTATAATCCGTCATTTCTCCAAGGAGTCTTGGTTCCTTTCACTGGAGGGTGGTATTTAAGACAAAGTTCTGGGTGCTACATTCGATCACTGTTACTGGAGTGTTGTAGATTCTAGGTCCTTCTTTGTCTCTTTGCATATTAAGCAATATCTGTCTAGGTTCTTGTTATTTTCTGAGAGTGTTTTAGTATTGTTGTTTGACACTGTTTTGGTATTATTTACATACTGCTAAAAATATGTGCTGAACTATGTTGGGCTGTCATTAAATAGATACCACAGAGTAGTGCCTGGGTGGCCAGGGTCCTGTGATCAGGCCCCATATCAGGCTCCCTTCTCAGCAGAGCGCTTGCTTCTCCCTCTCTCCATCTGCTGCTCCCCCTGCTTGTGCTCTCTCTCTGTAAAGTAAATAAATAAAATCTTAAAAACAAAACAAAAAACCACAGATAGGATGGCTTAAGCAATAGATACTTATTTTCTCATAGTTCTGCAGGCTAGAAGGCCAAGAGCAAGGTGTTGGTGGGTTTGGTTTCTTTTGAGGCCTTTCTCCTTGGATTTGTAATGGTCACTTTCTCACTGTGTCCTCACATGGTCATCTCTTAGTCTGTGTAACCTCTTTCTTCTAAGAACACTAGTCCCATTGGATTAAGACACCTCAAAGACTTCATTTTAACTTAATCACTTTCTTTAATCTTTTATCTCCAAATACAGTCACATTCTGAGGTACTGGGGATTAGGCCTTCATATGAATTTGGGAGACACAATTCAGCCCATAACACCCATATTTACGAAGTTTTATATTAAATAGGTGTTTGCATTTATAGTAAGTAAGCTTGTCTTACCCTGAAAATGAGTATCTACATTCCTATATTTTTAGTTCATTTATAGTTTATTTTTTGGTGGGGGAAGGATAGTAAATCCCTAGTGACTTTGCTATTCCTCATAAAGATGAGCCCTGGGTTTGAGGCTGATGTCAACAGCTCAAAAGATGCCAAGTCTTCTGCTGGGGATTTTATCTTCACCAGCTGGAAGCCACATCATTAACAATCTCTGCCTTACCTAACAACACCACTCTGTGAAGCTACTTCAGCAGAAGCCAATCCACAGACACTGGATGTGGCTATTTTTTTAGCCACAGAACCTAGGGCTTTACGATGTGGCACAGGGGCTATCCAGAACAGTGAGTTCCGAGAAAGCAGCAAACCTTAAGAACTGAGGGGCCAATCAAAACACAACTTCGAGGTCTGCTGTATTCATCCCCACGGCTGATACAAGGGATCAGTGAGCCATCATAGTTCTAGTTTATATACTCAAGTTAACTTCATTCTACTTTGTATTTCCCTTCAGAATTTGGATACAATCAATGAATTATCTTCCATAAGCCTTACAACCCAGCACGACTGCACTTAAATTCAACATGAGACTCTTCATTACTGTCACTCTTGACTCCTCTTTCCTTTGCTGTAATATCTAACCCAGTCCTGTTGGTTTTTCCCTGGTGAGAGTCCAAGAATCCATCTTTCTATTTTATTTTCAAACCCATGGCCAGTGATACATTTAGGCTCATGCCATCTCCTCTGACTTAACAGTATAATTTCCCAACACATGCCTCTGGCTCCAATGTCAAATCAATCTTCCTAATAGACCTGCTGCACTGCCTTTGCTTAAAGACTTTAATAGTTGGCCTCCTTACCACCTTGTTGACCAGCCCCTGTGGTTGCTCATCAGAACATAATTTGAAAACCTCTTCCTTATATAAGCCATCTGTTCCAACATGGTTTCCTCAATATGCCTCTTTCCCCCACCTGCTCAGTTAATGCCTTTTTTTTTTTTTTTCAAGATTTGTCACTCCTCCATAGACTTCTAAATTGTTTTTGAATTTTAGAATTTGTCAGGATTGTTTTGCCTTTAGTATATTCTAGGTTATAGATTTTTTTAATGTAACTGACTTCCAAAACATAATTTTCTCACATATTGTAAGGATTTGGAACTAGTTGATACTATGCTTATAGGTGGTTTATTTTTTAACCTCTGTTTTGAATAGAATCAGTCAAATGAATAAACACAATATTCCCTAATACCTAACTCTTATAAGAGTAGAAAACAATAATACATTTCATTTGGAACATGGGAAAGATTAAATGTCTTAATAAACAGCAAGACAATTTTTAAGGACCACCACTATTATAATTTATTACTGCTCTAATGTGAATATTACTGAGTAATTTATTACTAACATCTGCAATATTTTCTAGGTGTTGTTTTTTTTTCTGGTTTATTTTCTTTAATACTGGGTCCTACTCTGGATGTTTGCAACCTGGGAGGTTGGGCATAAAGCCAAACAACGAGCACAGTGTATAAAATCAAATAGTTTATTTTAAAAGGCCACCTACAAAATAAACTCATGGTTTATAAAGAAAGTGTTTGCTACAAATGAAATTCATCCTATAAATTTGAATACTGTTTCAGTTATAGAGGCAGGAAGAAATACTCATTTCCTCTTAATCTTTTTTCTGCCTAAAGAGGGAAAACTGCCAAAATACTCCCTATACCTTTCCCTCCCACTAAGGTAAAGTTTTCTATATTTACACTGGCTATACTGAAAAATTTGTACTACT